TTGAAAAGTCGATTTTCAGTCTGTGAACCATTATTAAAATGTATTTTAGTTTCTCAGCTTAACTTCATTGATCTTGAAGACCCGAGGATAGCGCAATCAGCATACAGTACATCCAGTGAAATTATATGACTAATCCAGTGTAGAGCCGAAGGCTATTTTTCTAAAATTCCACTTCTGCATGTTAACTCGTTGAATTGAAACCGCAGGCACCAAAACATGATACACACGGACCGGGTTCCCCCCCGGAATGTGTGTACATTTGCATGTGAATATCTTTCCTTCCCCTATAATCGCATTCTAAAGCTAAGAAAGCATTTTGGGACATAGCCTTCGGCCACATACTTGCTAAAATTGAATCGATTTTTAGCTCTCCCTCGTGCGTGTGCATTTTTATTTACGATATCAGAGAACAAGTTTTTCTGTTTTTGTGGTAACTCAAGAAAAATTTCCAGCATTAGATATTCAATAAATAATGTGGCGCGAAATCAGTCAAAATTAGCTTCCAGTGTGTTGCTCAAGCTAATTTTTCATCTTGCTTCGCCTTTCTATTACTGTAATAACTCGAGAACGAAAAAAGTTGTATAGATGGAATTTCCAGATTTTATACGTCAGATTAGATATCGGCTTGTAATCAGATCTTGAACTTTATTGTGTGCTAATTTGTAATCAAGCTTCTGTGACGTCTGTTCCTGTCTGGGGCTGTGTTTGTAATTTCGGGGCAAAGCAGAACTGTGGACCAGATATTTCGAAGTTTTAATTGACCAGCTGATGCCAGATGGGTGTTTTGAAATCAGCCTTCTGCTCTCCACTGTTTGCTCAGGGCAGTTTATCAAGAAAAGTTATCGTCCCATCGGACGGACTGCTGTACGCCGGTGTTTGTTCTGTTTATTGTTGTTTTCTCGTTATTCATCTTTTTTTGAAAACTCTTCACTCGTTGATGTGTGTGTATTAAAACGGACATGAGAGGGGCTGTGTTTTTTTCCCCTTGCAGCCAAATTTTTCCACTGGGTCGGGAAAAACTGTTTCGGAATTCGAATGAA